TCCAATGTGTGATATACATCAAGTCAAACGAAAAATCAAAAACAAAAGTAAAAAAATATACAAGGAAAAATACAAAAGTACAAAAATAATAGGTCGTGGTCCGGGAGAGTCCCGACAAAAAAGTCAGGACTACAGTGTGCAGATGCGCGAAAAGATAGAACTGGCTACACAAATCTGAATGAAGGGTATCTCATCTGTTCCATCCATCTGAGGGCGTGGAGGCAGAATATCGTCTGGTCCATCCGTGTTTGGTCGTTTTTTTTATATTTCAGTCGAACTGTGTACACCCATATATAAACGTGATACGAAATGCACAATAGATATAAAAAATTAAATGCACATTAAATGCATATGAAAATGCACAATACGGTAAGAATGTAATTTTTGCTTTTTTTCACGCGGGGTCGCTAATGTTCATTTTCAGTATAATCTAATAAATTATAATTTATATTATAAAAAGTACTATTGAAATTTTAATATCTTATATTTATTTTTATTTAACATATTATATTTATATTTGACATATTATATTTATATTTTTATTTATTTTTATTTAACATATTATATTTAAATAAAAATAAATATTGTATTCATATAATAATAGCAAAACAAATATTTTTATATTTTTTTTGTCGGTTTGGGTTAAAAAAAGTAACTGATAACTGTACTGATATATAAATACCCGAACTGAAAGTTTTATGTCGATCGGTTTTGATTGTCTTTTTGGTTTTGGCCGAACTTGAACACCATATTCGCACTACAAAATATACAACATCTACAAATTAAATAAACATAATACATATAAGATTGCACAATATACAATTATGCTAATATGCAATATCGAAGTGATTAATGTGCATTTTGTACAACATTATTGTGTATTTTTCACCGCGCGTAATTTTAAAATGCGTGTCCGTTCACAATATTGTGCAGTTTAATAATTAATTATTATTATTATTACTATTATTATTATTATTATTATTATTATTATTATTATTATTATTATTACTATTACTATAGTTTTTAATAAATTACGGATTTTGACAATAAATAAATATCATTATATTTAAAAATTTTAAATTGCAATTATATCCCTATATTATATCTAATTCTCATTAAACAAACCCTAGCCCCAAAATAATAGTTCAACACCTTCCACCACCTCACATACCCGTCAACCCTCCGCCCACAACATCACCACAGTCGCGGCCACCGGTGCCAGCCGCGAAAGGTCAGGGGCTGGGGACGACAACCACCTACACAAAGGATAATCGAGACAATAAAACCCATCGGGCGACGCAGGTCGCACACAGGGGATCTGCAACGCGACGGCGACAGCATGCGTTCGCAAGCAGCGACGAGTTGTGGCAATACTATCATTTTTCGGCGGAGAGGATGTCAGATATCATGAGTTTAACGGTGGAGAACCGGAGATCCACCACGTCCATGGAGAAAAATATGATTTGCACGAGTTCATATCACTCAAATCACGAAATAGTTGAAATTTTGAATTATGTTTTTTCCTCACTCAACAAACATGTTAAGCAATATTCTAATTATATAGGGGAATTATATTATGAGCTAAAAGTACTTCTTCATATATACTTTTTATTTATTATAACATGTAATTATGTAATGATGTCTCTTTCTAATTGTAACTTTTAATAGTATTAACTAAATATCTATCCAACTTTTAGTTATAATAAAATGTATAGATGTAACATTTCAAAAAAATAATTATCGATTTAAAAATGGATGCCATCATTCGTAATTTGAAAAACATGACTCTTGTTCGTAACTTTTTCAATAATATACGCAGTATGGCATCAAAATATTTTTATATATTTATACTAGTAACTTTACAATAGTAATAAAATATTTGTCCAACTTGTGGTTATAATAAAATACAGAGAAAATAGCTGTTTTCACCCCATTTTGAAGTCCTGCTAAGTTTTTCACACCGCCCAATAAAAAGTTAAGTTTTTTACCCCAGGAAGTACGAAGAGATATGCGAAAAACTATACGATAGATAGACGACCGGTATGAGCATGGGTGAGAAAATTATGATTTAAAGTATGCGACTGGTCTGCGACGAATATGTGGAGATTCGATGTACGATTCGGTCAATCGCGGTCCGTCGCCTATTAAATAATTATTTTTGTTAGGCGAATGTACTGCGACTATTAGTCGAAAAAATTATTTTGTTACATACCAACGTTGCATATTATTCGTAGAATTGGTGCATAATAAGTTTTTTTCGTATTTCTTTAATCTTTTAGTTATGCGAGAGAGTATGCAAATTGCAGCATATTGCTCGCATACTCCCTTCGCACTTCTACTCGAAAGTGTATTTTTTATTTATTTTTATTTCTTTCATCTTTCAGTTATTTCAGTTATGCGATGGGGTATGCGAATTTCCGCATACTGCTCGCATACCACCTTCACACTTCTATTCGAAAGTTTATTTTTTATTTCTTTCATCTTTCAGTTATTTCAGTTATGCGATGGGGTATGAGAATTGCCGCATATTGCTAGCATACCCCATTCGCGCTTCTACTCGAAAGTTTTATTTTTATTTCTTTCATCTTTCAGTTATTTCAGTTATAATATGAGGTATGCGAATTGCCGCATACTGCTCGCATACCACCTTCGCACTTCTACTCGAAAGTTTATTTTTTTTCTTTCATCTTTCAGTTATTTCAGTTATGCAATGGGGTATGAGAATTGCCGCATATTGCTCGCATACCACCTTCGCACTTCTATTCGAAAGTTTATTTTTTATTTCTTTCATCTTTCAGTTATTTCAGTTATGAGATGGGGTATGCGAATCGCCGCATATTGCTCGCATACCACCTTCGCACTTCTACTCGAAAGTTTATTTTTATTTCTTTCATCTTTCATTGTTTAATTTAGTTTAATTTTTTTATTCTTTCAGGTATGAGAAATGCCACATACATACAACAAACACCAAAAATATAATAAAATGCAAAAAAGAAAAAAAAATGTGTTACATGAATCATTAAAGAACTGGGGCGGTAATTGTTTCTGGTTCAGTACTAAAATGAAAAATTTCTTGAGCAATTGTGCGCCTCATTTGCTTAGCCAACTGCTTGTTAGATATGTTTAAACGCTTCTTCCTCGTTAGCAATGTTCGTACCATCTCCATAGTGCATGCACCACAAGAAATTCTATCATGTTGCTAGATAGTATTTTTGGGGTCCATGAAGTTCAATTCAAACTTTTCGCTCACCCCCTCTACTTCCGCATACGTCGCAATCAGAGGAATTAGATTTTGGATTTTTTGGAATGCTTTGACGCGGGATTCGCGATTGTGCCCGTCCTCCTTTTTCTAATACGTATGTCGTAGGGGGTCAAACACACATATCGTCCCCTTGAGTAACAGGATCTGGACAGTTACGTAGTGCTGGGACAAATTCACTACTCCAATAATCGGTTGCATTGAGTTGTGAGAAATTCACTAATTTTTTAGGAAATGTTGCAATATTAATTCTAATTGATTCAGAATCATTGAAAACTTACAGATTGAATCTTCTCCCAAGGACACGGATTCGCCCAACCGCTGACCCCCTCATTCGCAATGCGAATCAAAGATTGGAGGGTCTCTGAGGCTGGGTCCAATCCTCCATTATCGATCTCCTTCTCCAATTCATCCAACATCAACTATATAAAATACAACAAAATAATAAATAATAATGTTACTAATATAATTATTAATAAAAATGGAATGACAAGGAAAAGAGAAAGGATTAAAATAATCTCACAAAAAACGTAGTCGGCACGATGGTATAAGTGACCAACATCTCCACCGTAGGCTGCAACCCCAAAAAGTGTGGATTGCTTTGCATAATCCCCAAGTATGCATCCACGTTCTGTTTTATAAATCAAACCAAACATCATCCATCAATTCATTTTTATAAATTAAGATATTAAAAGACAAACATATACATACCTCGTCAAACATATTTCATCTGGATTAACCAACAGCTTAAACCACTCCTAGTCCACCACATATGGAACACCGACATTCCTCCTATTAAATAATATAATAGAAAGCCATTTTTTTAAATGTAAACAATAAAAGATCTTTTGGATGTACTTACATTTCATTATTCGTGGATTTGAGGAACCGTTCAAACTCGCGCTCATTTTTGGCATATCGTCTGTCTCCTAGGGTCGATATTGACTTACAACAACACGTCCTTGTAGTCATTGTCGATCAAGTTTAATATCCAAAGACGAGGACTGCGGAGAAGAAGTGGACTGCAACATCAGTGTCTCTGAGGTGGAGGTGGGAGCAATGGGTGTCTTGGAGGTGGTAGCGACGACTGTCTCAGGGAGGGGTGTCTCGGAGGTGGAGGTGGGAGCGACGAGAGTCTTGGAGGTGGTAGCGACGAATGTCCCATGGAGGGGTGTTGCGGAGGTGGAGGTGGGAGCGACTGGAGTCTTGGTGGTGGTAGCAACGACTGTCTAAGGGAGGGGTGTCTTAGAGGTGGAGGTGGGATTGAGACGACTGTCTCGGTGGTGGGAGTGGAGGAACACTGTCTCTTAAGGGAGTGGGTCGGGGAATGCTGGCTCTCATGGGAGGTGTGTTAGAGATATGTTGTAAAAGCTATGTTTTGCATATTCTATCGATTGCATTTTGCTCTGGTCATCATGTTTCAGTCAAAGTACATATGTTTCCAGTTTATTTATTTCTGGAAATCA